GATCCGTATATATAACCCGTGGAAAATTTTGAATTTTCCGAAATTCTGCATGTGTAAATTTGATAATAATTGTGTATTAAAATGATGCTGACCGGACCTTTCGAGAAATTTGGTGTGAAGGAGGGTGTGCAGCGGCTGCAGAGTGATGCAATGGAGGAGGGGGACACCATTTGTAATTTGCGAGCACTGGTCGTCGTGGAAAATTCAGCTAATAATACAGCGTCTTCGAGGTCAAATTGTGGTGTTTTGGCTTGAATTTGTAATAGGAGCCCATGTTAATGTCCCCTGCTGAAGAATTGGGACAGGAAATATGAGGGACCTCATTAATTATGTGTGGATGGCAGAAGATAAGGAATATGCCATCACTCACACCGGGAAGTGCGCCATTAGTCCTTTCATGTAGCTCTCTAGCTGGCCAGTGTAGGGTTTATGTGTTAGGCAGGTGTTGTGTTGTGATCCCTCTACAGTAATTAAATGGTTTACCTGGAAGGTAAGTGGTAAAACGAATTTCTTTTCTAATAACACCATTATAATTTAAGTACAATTTATATTCTGTGTACCCATAATTTACCAATAATGGTATTAGTGTTTAATATTGTAATTATAAATGTAATATTAGGTCTAGCTTTTTGCGAGTGATGAAGTGGGCATCGAGGGAGTTTCAGTCCTACAACCTACTGTGACTAAGTCCCACTTATCTCACCCAAAAAAATGTAATAAATCAGGTAATACTGTATAAACCTCATGCAGATAATTTTCTCAAATAATTATTCACATAACCTGGCCAGACCTGGAATGATCACTCCATTTTCATTTTTTCGCCTATGTGAATAAAAACCTGGCTCTATATCACTCACTTATTTACCCTTATCTCACCTATGGAATTTGTGCATGGGGCTCAACAACAATAAACCATCTCAGACCATTAATTACCCAACAAAAGGCTGCAGTAAGAACGATAACAAATTCCTACTACAGGCAGCACACTCCACCAATATTCAAAACTCTAAACCTACTCACCATACAAAACATCCATACTTATTACTGCACCTACTACATTCATAGAACACTTAACTCTGATATTAACCCTCCCCTCAAACGTCTCCTTACCAACCTCAACAGAACACATGACCATAACACAAGGCACAGATCACTCTTTGATGTTCCTCGTGTCCATCTGGTAAATAGGCTACACAATTGTGACTGGACAGAGATAACAAGTTGCACGACGTAAACGATGCCTGGGAAAAATTCAAAACAACGTTCACTACCATCCTTGATAATATTGCACCAGTTAAAGAGGTTAGGATTAAACAAAGAACTGAACCCTGGATGAATACTGAGATATTAGATAATATGAAATTCAGAGACCAGCTGCTAAAAAGATTTAAAGCAAACAGACAGGATATTGCAGCACTAAATGAATTCCAAAGGGTGAGGAACAGAGTACAGAGACTTATAAAAAGAGCAAAGGCAAAGCACTACTGCTCAAAAATTGAAGAGTATAAGCATAACCCCAGAAAGCTCTGGCAACAACTAAAACAGTTGGGGTATAGCCATAAGCCAGTAGATAGGTCTAACATAGTACCCCCTATCGATAATGAGGTATGCCACGAAACTTCAAAGGTGGAAAAATTTGCTTTAAATTTCATACTACACATCTGTTGCATAAACTGTAAGTAAACTACCGCTGATCAAATACTTTAACAAGATCTGATAATTTTTAAAACATATATCCCAATTAAGGGGTAACCCCAAACAGTGTAACTGAAAGTTTTCATGACTTTTTTAAAAAAGAACTAAGCAGGTTAAACCCAATAAGGCACAGGCCCTGAAAAAACACCCCGTCAAAGTTCCTAAAAGATGGTGCTTCTGAACTGTCAAATCCCTTTTGCTACATAAAAAAAATCTTTAATCACCACTAATACCGTCCCCGGAGGGGTTCAAGGGGGCCGAGTTACTCTATCTTCAAGAAAAATAGTAGGTCGATGTAAGCAACTATAGGCCTTTTAGTATACTCAGTAAATATCTAAAATTCTAGAGGGGGCGGTGTTTTCTCAAGTAGTTAAGTACCTTTGACAAAAAAATTTCCTAGCTTCAATCGGGCTTTAGAAATCTACCAACGCACCCCCCTTATTAATCGATGGTTTACCTGAGAACTAAAATGTCAAAGGGGGAAACCCCATAGGTTCTGTAGAGGGTTTTTGTCCCCTTGCAACAGGAGACAAATAGTCAAAATCAACAAAAAGAATCAAAACCCTGCCAAAACATGGGAGTTCCCCAAGGTAGTATTTGGGCCCTTATTTTTTAGTTATGTCTGATATGCCTATCAGTGTCAGTGCAAACTCCTATTGATGCAGTGCAGTGTTGTTATGTCAGGTAAAAGACCCCCCAAAATTGCAATGTTTTAACACTGGAACTGGAGTCCTGCAGCAAATGGTTTGTAGACAACAAACTATCATTACACCTAGGAAAAACCCGAAAACCTTTTTTTGGTGAAACTTTAAATGAGAAAGGGGAAAAATTTTAATGTTCAAAGTAATTGGGGGGCCATCACTTTGGTTTTTCAGAAAAAATTTGGGGAACCCCTTTGACCATGATGTCAGGAGAATTGTAGGGAACGTGAGTAAAGAAAGCGAATGCCGACGAAGTTTCCCGTACAGACAAGCACAGTGTCTCCTACTGAGGCTCACAGGACCCTATGTTAGCCCTTTTACAATGCCCTGGGTTCGCTTGCTTTCTTGGTACTCTCCTTGACAAAAAAAATGAAAGATAGACTGCAAAAACACCCAGAACAAAAAGTTAAGATTCATCCCGGGGTGGGGGACCCAAGAGAACATGTGGCCGGGAATTAAGCGGGAAAATTTAATTTAAGCAGAGAAAAATGAAGTAAAAATGTATAAATTTTAATCCTTTTGAAATCGTTAATTTTGTAAGGGTTGGGGAAAAAGACATAGGGCTAGGGGAGAAGCCCTTTTGTAGTACCCCAGTATACTTTGAACCCTTTTATTGTTCAAATAAAAAAAAACATGCCCGAATTAAAGCCGTTGCATTTTAACCCGTTGAGGGCCAAAAGTTCTAGATTAGAAGAAAGGGAGGGGAAGATTTTTTTATTTTTTTCTAAAAAAATACGTGAAATTTTCTTTTTAAAAATGGGCCCGATTGTAGATAGTCTTAATGACCTTGGTGTAGTAGATAGTCTTCTTAGTATGATAATAAGATGTTATCTTCATTGTAGAATAATAAGAAAATATTATAACCTTTATATTATAATAATAAGGTAAAAGGACCCCAATGGAAATAAGTCACTCTGTCTGACTTTTTTGGGTTATCCTAGGTTCTCTACACATATGCTGCTATGTATGATAATTCTATGTAACTGTATTTGTGTATACCTGAATAAACTTACTTACTTACTTACTTATGCAAAAACTCAATGCACATAAAAGGCCCTAAAATCTGGAATTCATTACCTGTGAATATAAAAGAAACACTGTCTGTTTATAAATTCAAGTCTCTTCTCAAAAATCACTTACTCATCCACAACTAAATAAATACTGAATAATTGTATCTCATAAATCGTATCTCGTAAATGTTTCTCATTACTGTATCTCATAAATGTCTAACCTGTGACCCAATCAAACTTTATTTTTTAATTACATTACCTAACAGAATACAGTGGACCCCCGCATAACGATCACCTCCGAATGCGACCAATTATGTAAGTGTATTTATGTAAGTGCGTTTGTACGTGTATGTTTGGGGGTCTGAAATGGACTAATCTACTTCACAATATTCCTTATGGGAACAAATTCGGTCAGTACTGGCACCTGAACATACTTCTGGAGTGAAAAAATATCGTTAACTGGGGGTCCACTGTATTCCATTCTAGTGAATGCTCAGCAACACAGTAAATGACCATATGACCTGTCTTTGTAATACTCATTTGTGCTAAATTGTTATCTGTTTACAATAATGTTTTTACCACTGAATATATCATTGCTTAGTTAATCTTAAGTTAATTTTAAGCCTGCCCATAATGCTCTGCAAACAAGGGGCTTTGGCATGTTGCACTGTGATAACTGTATTCCTTTGTACTTCACTGTATCATGTTCAAATAAATAAATAAATAATTTTACATGCCATTACATTTCCTATTGTATTTTTCCCTCATTATATTTGGTACTTTTTTATTATTATTATTATTACCTTAGACTGTACTCATTCTAATGCAGTTACCCCATAATTTAATATAATTTCCTATACTAATTTAAAAAAAAAAAAAAGTGTAGTGCTGGGGTAACATTTTTAAATGGTTGCTTCAGAAGGGTTCCCTGATTCCTCCTTTTTTTTTTTTTTTGTCCCATCTCTGCCCTCATTTCATATATATAATGGCTCCCTTACCTTCGTGCATTAGTGATTGGTTAATGGTCCAACTAGGACCAAAACGGTGTTGTAAGTTTCTCGTGTCTGCAGGTTATTTGTGTATTGTTCCAGTCAAGGTATTGTGACTTTATTGTTCGTTTTAGTAAAAGGTTCTTGATATCAGAAATTGAAGCTAGTTTCTTCCTTGGATCAAACCCGTTTATCTTCCATTCCCCAGGTGTTGCATGAGCTTAATGGGTTTAGTACTTCCCTATGAACATAATAATTAATCTGATCACCTCCTGTTTCTCTGGTGGTTTATGACTCTTAAAGCTTTAGCAATTTCCTGTGATTTACCTGTGACCTGTTTCGAGAGTTTTCCTACTCTGCTGCCTGGCTAAGGGCCAGGTCTCCTTCTTGATTACGTGGTCAACCAGGCTGTCACTGTTGGTGGACCAGTGACCTACATATCCATCACACCCTGGTTTCATTTGGCACCCCATGTGGTAGTGATCCACTGTTGTCTTGAGGACCTCTGCCCTGATTCTTGCAATATTTCTATTTGCTGCTGAAAAGTTCATTCTCATGGATGTTGATACAGTGTTCTCTTACTGAGCCCGAGTTGTCTTATTTTTTTTCGCTCCTATTTTACACTTCCTCTCATATGTCTCACTCCTGTATGTTATGATAGTGTATAGATTTGGGACTAGCCAGAAAATAATAAGGCACAATATTATGATTAGATAATGGTCCAAGCCAGACCAAAATGTTGTCATAAGTTTAATTCTCCTATGTGAGGGTTATTTACGTACTGGGACCAGCCCTTCATTGAATATACAAATAATACTAATCAATATATGGCAAATATCAATATAAACTTACTCTAGCCATTCACCCCAGTCACCATGCACTTTCTGCATGGCCATCTTATCCTTGGGAACACACTTTCCCCTCAGACACCAGCTACCTGTGCTACACGTAGTGCCGTCTGCCCAGGGCATGTGTTGTGTCCGGCAGCCTTCCTTCTCATCTAGGGAGGTAGTACACCACAACCGCTTACAAGTTGGCTGAAACACAACAAAAAAATATAATATTTTATACTTCCCATTAACCCTTAAACTGTCCAAACAGATCTATGTTCACATGTGTAGTGCTCCAAAAGTAAATCTACATTTTTTACATATTTTCAAATATAACAAAAAAAAAAAACGTAGATCAAAGTTTTTTACACGTTTTCAAATGTAAAAAAACAAAAAGAAGAACTATTTTTTTTTAAATACTTTCAAACGTTGAAAAAACGCTAGATCTACGTTTGGACAGTTTAAGGGTGTTAATATAATAATAAATATTTTGAAAACAGGAAGGATACCAAGAAGTGGTTAAAAAAAAAGCTAGTTGCAGTGATGTTGTTAGTGCAAAGTTTTCCCCCAATGGTGGATTTTATAAGTGATGTACAGTACTTTAAAAATCCCACTCGTGGATGGCATTTTCCAAGTGACATATGTACTTGAAAAAAAAAGTCACCCATGGGTGACATTTTTCCAAGTACATTACTAGTATAGTGTGTAATATCACCCATGGGTGACATTACACACTATAATTGCAAAGGCCACTCCAATTAGTGTTACTGTACTTAAAATCACAATAAACAAGAGAATGACACTAACCATATAGGGACAGATGCGAGAGGTCATGCCAAAGACATACTGACATTGCTTGCTAGCATTGAAGAGTTCCCCAGCTAGTGTGAATTCAGTGGTCCCTTCGATTAACTTGTTAGTCCAAGGCTCGTCCTCAAGACACCTGCCATGACCACCCCTGTTGGAGAGGCAGCGAGGGAGCTACTGGGATGGAAATAAACATCCTGGGTACAAAGCAGTTTAGTGAAGTCAAAACTAGAGTAATGTTTCATATGCGATGGACAATATATTTAAATCTCACGATGGGGTATAGACGAATCTGAAAATCCTCCTCTTCCTGTCTTGAATCATAATTTTAGAATCCATATTTGTAAATAGTGATGGAATAGAATTAGTATGGTGCTACTACAACTACTGCTACCATCACTACCACTTCAGGTGCTGTATAGCCATACATGTTCAGAAATTCACCCTTGAATACAATACTATTACTACTATTAATGCTACCACTACTGCTACTGCTACTTCTTCAGTGCTTTAGAGTAAAATAACATGAAAAATATAAGAATAACCCTTAGCTTAAACAGAAGCGTCGACCTAAGGTAAGTGTGATCCTTATACATTTTTTCCTATTATTTCTCACGGCACTGATGAAGAATTCTTAGTGATTTTGCAAGGTTTCTGTCAAACATTTTCTAGGTTTTGGACATTAGCGAGTTCTGATCAAGTTTGTTTTAAAGGCATATTAATTCATGCACTTATACATTTCAATAATAATTAAAAATACAGTGGTACCTTGAGTTTCGAACTGCTCCCAACTCGAACAATTATGTAAGTGTATTTTTGTAAGTGCTTATTTAAGTGTATTTTTGGGGGTCTGAAACGGACTAATGTAATTTACATTACTCCTCATGGGAACAAATTCGTTAGGTATCGGCACTCGAACAGCCTTCTGGAACGAATTAAGTTCGTAACTCAAGGTACCACTGTACATTCTTTTAATTTATCCTACGTAATGTTGTTATATGAATGGAAGTACTTTTTTTTAACACATCGGCCGTTTCCCTCAGAGGTGGGCAGACCCGAAAAAGAGGAAACACTTTCATCATCATCATTCCATCACTGTCTTGCCAGATGCATGCCTACACTACAGTACAAAAACTGTAACACATCTTCGCCCCTCCTTCAGAATGCAGGCACTGTACTTCCACTGGCTTTCCCCCTCCACCGCTGCAAAAATTTTGGTTATGATTATAACCATAAGCATACATCAGAGGGGCCAGACTGGAAGATGAGATTTTAAACCATGCAGCTACAACTAAGTACATCTAGAACCAACATAAAGGTAATCTTAGCTTACGTAGATTTGTCAGGAAAACAGGACAAGTGCTTCCTGACGAGGGTCTTACTCATACAAGTAACCAGAGGCTCCCTGCACCGGTATGATCCTCAGAACACCCTCCAGGTAAGGCAGACATACTCACTGCAGAAACTCTGTAAGGAAGTGTTCTGGAGCAGTTGGACCACCCCCGGGCAGTGTGTTGTGGTCTAGCATACGACTCATTACATTCATGCCCTGGTTAACCATCCCACTGCTGTCTAGCAGGCTGAAATTGTCGTCGTTGTCGTGGGGCATTTTTCAACCTGAACAATGATATAATAATAATAATAATCATAATCTTTACTTCTACAAGTAAATGTACAACTTATGCAGACCCTAGCTGACATCAAGGACTACTATACACTATAATAATAATAATAATAAGAATCATCTTCTACAATTAAATGATACAACTTAAACAGACCTAGCTGACATCAGTGACATCCCATATAGAAAGCCCTGGTTATGCAGAGCATTTCCCTTTGAAAACTCATGTTAATTTTGTCCCCAGGATGCGACCCACCCCGGGTTTTGGACTAACACCCAGGTACCTGTTTACTGCTAGGTGAACAGGGACGCAGGTGTCTGAAGGAAAACATTCCTAATGTTTCCACCCTTACCAGGGACTGAACCATGGACCTCAGTGTGAGAGGTGAGTGCGCTACAACCCAGCTACGAGAAAACGTTACGGCGATACCGACAAGATCTGGAAGAAGACACTTGTGTACGTTCATGTCCTGAACTGTATGAGTGTTTTTCCCACATGTTTAACCTGAACGGTGTCCCGTGGCCCGGTTGACATCGCTCTCGCCTCGCTACTGAGTGTCCGTGGTTCGCCCCCGTCAAGGATGGAAACATTGGGCATGTTTTCCAAAACACCTGCTGTCCCTGTTCACCTAGCAATAAGTAGGTACCTGGGAAATTAGTGGAAAGTTGGGGTAGCGTCCTGGGGGACAAGATATGAATATAAGACAAAACAGTCCTCAATGACACACTGATTTCCTCAGGTTATCCTAGGTGGCTAACCCTCCCTTCCCTGGGTTACCTGGGTGGATAATTATCAGTCTGCTTATGGGGAGACAAAAAACCCTATTTTACAGCCAGACTTTTCCTGTCCCAAAAGGGGGTGGCGTTTCTGAAGAAATTAAAAACCTATAGGTGAACAGTGACAGTCCATGAGTCTGAGACTAGATCCTCATGTATTAATTGTATCCAAGTTATTTAAAGGTTAAATAAAAATGTGCTTAATAAAGTGTACGAAAAAATGAAACACGCAGGGGACTGGGCAAAGGGCAGGGCAAAGTTATTTTCAGACAAAAAAAAAAAATCCCAAAAATATTTATTGTATAGAAAGATTTTTTTTAAAAAGTTTCCTTTGCTAGAAGAGTTGACAACTTGTCGACTTTTTTGGGTTATCCCAGGTTATCTACACATATGCTGATATGTATGACAATAATATAAACTATGTAACTGTATTTGTGTACACCTGAATAAAAATTACATACTAAACATGTACAACACCTGGGTATCTTTGTTGACTGTAGAGAAAACCTTTTGCCTTCACAGCGCTTTAACAATCTAACATATAATATGAGGATGGAGACGTTTATACTGGAGTCAGCGAAAATGGTGAGATGCAGCAGTTGTAGATGTGGTCCCTTTGTAGGCGGGGTAATTATTGGTAATTACAGTGGACCCCCGATTTAAAGATATTTTTTTCATTCCAGAAGTATGTTCAGGTGCCAAATACTGACCGAATTTGTTCCCCTAAGGAATATTGTGAAGTAGATTAGTCATTTCAGACCCCCCAAAAATACACGTACAAACGCACTTATTAAATACACTTACATAATTGGTCACATTAGGAGGTGATCGTTAAGCGGGGGTCCACTGTATTACCCTCCCCAGGTTATCCTAAATAAATAAAAATAAAATATTTCTTTCTTTTGCTAGGGTTACAATGTGTGTTTACATATAATATGATTAGAGCAAAGAAAGCCACTATCATGTTGGGGTATTTCAGGCAGGTGGCCATCCTTCCCCCAGGGTTCCTGGGTGGCTAACCCTCCCCCAGGTATCCTGGGTGGCTAACCCTACCCCAGGGTATCCAGGCTGGCTAAGCCTCCCCCAGGTTATCCTGGGTGGCTAACCCTCCGGGGTTAAAAATCCCAACAAATGTTATTTAACAAGATAGGCTTTACTAGGAGGGTGTGACCCTTTCAATAGAGTTTGTGGATCAAAACCTGAATGTATGTTAATCCTTATGGGCTTAGCGTCCCCCTGAATGAAATAATAAGGCACAACGTTTCACCCATCATAAATACGCCACTAACGGGCGAAACATTGCATGAGACCTACAATCAACAGGTTGTCACTGACTCAAGAAACTGGCGCACCATCCCCTTTCCTGGATCAGACCTCATTATCTCCCACTCCCAAGCTACCGAATGGCCCTAAGGCTTTAGCGCTTCCCGTGAATAAAAAATATTAAAAAGTGTAACCTGGTGTATATATATTATATATATATATATTAAAATATTATATATATATTATATATATAATTTTATATATATATATATTATATATATTTTATATAAGCATATTTGAAATATACGAGGTTATCCAGCACATAGAATTGATTTCTTTACCTTAACAATTAATTCGACAATAAAAATAGGGACTGTTTCGTGGACAAGGTTCCTAACATGTACCTTTTCACCTAGCAGGAAACAGGTACTGTACCTTGGTGTAGCAGGAAATAGGTACTGTAACTAGGTAACCTTGGTGTAGCAGGAAAAAGGTACTGTACCTAGGTGTAGCAGGAAATAGGTACTGTACCTAGGTGTAACAGGAAATAGGTACTGTACCTAGGTGACCTTGGTGTAGCAGGAAATAGGTACTGTACCTATGTGTAGCAGGAAATAGGTACTGTACCTATGTGTAGCAGGAAATAGGTACTGTACCTATGTGTAGCAGGAAATAGGTACTGTACCTATGTGTAGCAGGAAATAGGTACTGTACCTATGTGTAGCAGGAAATAGGTACTGTACCTATGTGTAGCAGGAAATAGGTATTGTACCTCGGTGACCTTGGTGTAGCAGGAAATAGGTACTGTACCTAGGTGACCTTGGTGTAAGTTTATTCAGGTATACACAAATACAGTTACATAGATTATCATACATAGCAGTATATGTGTAGAGAACCTGGGATAACCCAAAAAAGTCAAAGTGACTTATTTCCATTGAGGTCCTTTTAATACCTTATTATTATACTATAAAGAAGATAATATCTTATTATTATACTATGAAGGAAATTTACTAGGAATAAGGTAAAATGAGTTATTTATATTTACATGTGTGTTAGCTAAAAAAAAAATAAATCATTCCCCTCCCTTTCTGTAGCTACATTCATCAGACACCTTTTGGCACTCTTCTTGAACTGGTTCATGCTATGACTGGCTTTGACATGTGCGGGTAGTATGTTCCATTCCTTTATTGCTGTACAATAAAAGGTGTTCGAAGCCTGGCCACTGACTGTGGGTACTACAAAGTTGTGCTCTCTCCCCTAGTACTAATTGCTTTGGTTCCCAACCTTGACAAAAATTGACAGCAAGATATTCGGGCATTGTTTGTGAGCAATTTTATAAACATGATTTAAAATTCAGTTTTTTTTACTCTGTCTTCAACATTCAGGGATATCCAAATGCTGTAATTTTATCCTGGCCTACATGCTCTCTTGGTCCCCGGTCCAGGTTTGAAATAGGTACTGTACCTAGGTGTAGCAGGAAATAGGTATTGTATCTAAAGGGGACCTAAGTGTAGCGGGAAATAGGTACTGTATTAGGTTTAGTGCGAAATGAGTAGTGTACTTAGGGGCACTGGGAAAATACTGCACCTAGATGCAGTGGAAAATAAGTGCTGTACCTGGGTGTTTGTGAAAAATGGGTAATGCTGATAGGTGTAGCAGGAAGACACGCAGGTGCAGTAGAAAGTTATGTAGGTGAAGTACACACACCTAGGTGTTGTATGAAAGATACTTTGTAGTACAAAAGGCATCTAGGTGTTGTATAATGTTACCTAGGTGAAGTGTTAAGACACCTAGGGGTAGAAACACCTAGATTTAATTAGGAATAACCTAGACGAAGCAGAAAACGCCTAGGTGTAGAAAGTATCTATATGAAGTGGAAAGACATCTAGGTTTATTAGAAAACACCTAGGTTGCTGAAAAACACATCGGTGTAGGAAGGACAGGCGAAGGTGCTGACAGGTGTTGGTGTTAAGGACTGTCTCGAGTTAGTTAGTTTTAGATGGTAACTACTAACAGATGGCCTAGTTCATGGCGATAGTTTAAGGCCGCTGAGAGCCGTTGTCCTGCACGATGGCGCAGGACGAGTGGCGGGAACACATGGTACCCAGCTCTGCCAGACCCAGCGTGTCGCAGCTCTTCGTCCCCGGGGTTACGACAGATATTTCCCTGCAGAAGATCAACATTTCAGACTGTTATGCACACAACCTGCCTCTCATTTCTCAATTATTAAATCTGGTTTCTTCTATGAAGCTGTAAATGGGTGTTTCAGGGGGGTCAGTGCCCCGGGCCCAGTCGGTCACTCGATTCTGTAGCTTCTGTACATTCAGTCAGTAGAATGTACGTGTTTTATATTATATGGAGATGGTGTCTGCTTTATAAAAAGCCCCTGTTTATTGCCTAGGCTTTTATTAATTAGTTCACAAGCAAAAAACCCAACCGTGCAAGGCTTAGGTACTTAACCTCAATTTAAATACCCAGCGCGACCTCTACATGTCACAATATCTACAGAATGAAATTAGGCACTTACTGCTAGTAAAAACAAATAGCTAATATAAATAATAGTTAATAACAGACGAGTCAAACACCAACAAGCCTGACCTGTGTCAGGCTGCAGCAAGATAGAGAGATAATGAATATTATGTTAACAATATAGACCAACTTTGTGGTCCTAACAGCAGTGATTTTTGTGAAAAATTGCCTTTTTTATTCACATTTATGTAACTTAAGATGGTGGAAGAAGGGCAGCAATTACAGGGAAGAGTTCTCTGAGTTTTTTTTTTACATATACCACAAGACCTGGCCATAGACCGGGCCAGGGGGCGATGACCTCCGAAACACTCTCCAGGTATACCCCCGGCAAGTTGAGAATAAATGGTTTACAAAACC